GTGTTCCCTTTACTGCGTTGTACTCTTCCTTAATAGTCAAGCCATTTAACCACTATCACTGCCTAGCCAGTCATAACCATTGTGCTAAGATTCTGTGCCTGTTACACTCTCTCCCTCTTCCTCCCCCTCTCTCTTTCTCTTTCTCTCCCTTCCTCCCTCCCTCCTCTCCTCTCTTTCTCTCTCTTTCACTCACACACTCTCTTTAACTCTCTCTGTCTCTCACACACACATATATGTGTGTGTATATATATATATATATATACACACACATATATATATATATATATATATATATATATATATATATATATATATATATATATATATGTATGTATGTATGTATGTATGAATGTATGTATGTATACATATACATGTAAACATATATACCTATATATATGAACATGCATGCATATACATGTATATATATATATAATATATATATATATATATATATATATATATATATATATATATATATATATATATATATATGTGTGTGTGTGTGTGTGTGTGTGTGTGTGTGTGTGTATACACCCTAATATAAAATGTAAATGCACTTTAAAAGGTTGTAGCCTAGGAAAACAAAGAAGCTTTTTTTGAACTGACAAAAGTCTTTTCTTCCACAGAGAAAGACACCGGCGAGATGGTACAATTCGAAGGCAAATATAAACATGACAGGGACGAGAACTTTGAAGCCATCTTAGAAAAGTCAGGTAAGTGCTTTCAAATACACACTAATAACGTCTATCGGTCTGACTGATACAGGTAAATGTGAATACTGGATTAGAGATATACGAATCTAGATACGGACAGATATAGATATAGAAATAAGTGAATATATTAACATTGAGATATTTTTATTGACATACAGATATATATATAGTTAAATAAACAAAGAGATAGATAGATATGGTCTCTTGGTATACCTGTGGATACATGCATACCATATATATATATATAGAGAGAGAGAGAGAGATAGATTGATTCAATATAACAATACACACACACACACACACACACACACACACACACACACACACACACATGTATACACATATGTGTCTGCATAAGTTTGTATGCATTTTGTATATTTATGTATGTATCAAATTACGTGATTTTCTTGCTCGCTTTACATTTTATCATGAACATTAATAATAAATAACCTACCAAACATGTACCTTACATTAATAATCTCACTTGTTATCAATTTCGTGGAGAAATATTATCAATGGCATTATACTAATAACCAAATTACTGAAATTACAGGAGCTGGTTTCCTGATGCGCAAAGTAGCGACCAAAGCCAAGCCCAGCATCGAAGTGGGCATCGAAGGGGACACTTGGACGATTCAAATGGTGGCAGCAGTTAAGACGATGACGTGGAAGTTCAAACTGGGCGAAGAGACGGAAATAGAGACGCCGGAAGGGAAGAATAAGGTAAGGTAGTATGGGCAAGTGGAGATCCGTTGTCGTATTTTGATTGGTATTAATATGTTTTGACCTCCTCCCCTCCCCTCCCCCCCCCTAAAAAAAGAGAGAAAAAAGAATCACTGAATATATTCATTGGAAGATAAGACGTTAAGGGGATGATTTGATGCAAGTTCGGTGATTGTTGGAGAAATCTTTTTGTTAGATTTTATTATTTTATGGATATCACTGTAGAGCCAGCATTTCGAATGAAGTAAATGGAAATTCTTCGATAATTATTCTTTTTTTTTGGGTTTGGTGATATCGCCCACCTCTCCGTTTTCCGATGAATCACGTAAGACGAGGATTTCTCTCTCCTTTTCACCTCATTTTTCTTTCTCTCTCGTATACTCAATCACCATCACAGTCATTATCACCAATCTCATTATCACATTATTATTGCAAGTTAACCTTCACTCTCTGTAATGGTAATCTAAGGATATTTTCTCCCTCAGGTGATGTTCGAACTGGACGGCAACAAGCTGACCCAGAGACCTGTGAACAAGGATAATAATAAGGCTATGCTAATCGAAAGGGAGTTCACGGACGAGGGTGTAAGCCAGGTGAGTTAAACTTCT